TACCTTCAAGGTTTTCCATGGCTGTTTTTTTGTGCTTACTGCAGCTGTGCTTACTGCAGCTGCAGGCCTTTTCATTTTGGAACCCTTCTTCTCTTTTTTGCATGTTTGTTTTTTACCCAAGGCCAAAGCTTTTGTCAAGCTTTGGTCTTGGTCCTTTGAGTTCCAGCTTGGTCTCTTTAGCACCAAAGAACCCTTTCTCCTTTTCAAAAAAGATCCCTCATCAGGTAATGCATTGGAACTGCTTGCTGCTGCTCCTTTTGTCAAGGGGCTGTCCTCCAATGGCAAGGCATTGGATTGCTGTGGGCTTTGCAAGCACTTGGGGAAGCCACTGAAATCCATGGAGATGGCAGAATCTTCTTTCTTAAGCTGCCTCCTTTTGGCAAGGGGGCCAGCTTCTTCTTCCTCTTGCTGCCCCCTTTTGTCAAGGGAAGCAGCTTCTCTTTCCTCATCACTGTTTTGCTCTGTGTCCTTGCCTGCCAAGTTTTGTGCAAGCTCTTTCAGCAGCTGGTATTCTTTTCCACTCACTTTTGCTGCTACTTTTGCAAGCTCTTCCTCAGATTTCAACCTTCTAAGATGAAGGAGGACAGTTGTAACCCTTTCTGCTCTCATGTTGCAGTATACCAGTCCATTGAAGTCTGTTGTGTTTATCTTCGGTTTGTGCTGGACCAGCTTCAGCAATGCTTGCCTCAGAGGACCTGGGTGGATCTCACCTGTGGGGGAAAGATCCAACAAAGCTTCCAACAGAGGCAGGCAATGCACTAGGCCCTTGGCATCTGTGGCTTGCTGCCTGCTGACAGTCTCATACCTTCCCAGTGAAGACACCAAAGAGACATGTTGGTTCAATGTTTGGAAAAGCACAAAGGGGTCCACCATTGGCTTGGAGAAGTGCCTTGCCCCACCCTTGCTGGCCATTGCTTCAAAACTAGAATCCTTTGGTCAAGGGTTCCTCCAAAACTAAGCTAGCTTTTGTCAAGCCAGCTACAAAATCTTGATGGATCCTACTTGAGACAGATGGTTACATATGGCTCTCATGCAGTTTGGCCAGAAGCTTGGCCCATGGCACACACTCAAGATGAAAATCAACAGAAAAATCAATAGGAAAATCAACAACTTAATCAATACTGCAGAGGCATCAAAACATGTACATCTGAAGCCAAATCAATATTTTTGGATGAAAACAAATCAATAAAAAAACTTGGTAGTTCTATTGATTTTTTCAATAAAAATTGGAAAATCAATATCAATAGAAAACTATCTGTTCCTATTGATTACAATCAATATCCGATGCTCAGGGTCCCTACTCTCTCCACATCTTCACTGTCCGTTTAACGGCGTTTAGACTCCGAAACTTCCTTCTACTACTACTACTACTACTACTACTACGACTACTACTGTTACTACTACTACTACTACTACTACTACTACGACTGCTACGACTACGACTACGACTACTACTACGACTACGACTACAACTACTACGACGACGACTACTACTACTACTACGACTACGACTACGACTACGACAATACTACGACTACGACCACGACTGCGACGACGACGACGACGACGACAACTACGACGACGACGACTACGACGACTACGACGACTACGACGACTTCGACGACGACGACGACGACGACGACTACGACGACTACGACGACGACGGCGACTACGACGACGCCGACGACGCCGGCGGCGACGACGACGACGACGGCGGCGACGACGACGACGACTACTACTACTACTACTACTACTATCTACTACTATTTACTACTACTTACTACTACTTACTACTACTTACTACTACTTACTACTTACTACTACTTACTACTACTTACTACTACTTACTACTACTTACTACTACTTACTACTACTTACTACTTACTACTACTTACTACTACTTACTACTACTTACTACTACTTACTACTACTTACTACTACTTACTACTACTTACTACTACTTCCTACTACTTACTACTACTTACTACTACTTACTACTACTTACTACTACTTACTACTACTTACTACTACTTACTACTACTTACTACTACGTACTACTACTTACTACTACTTACTACTACTTACTACTACTTACTACTACTTACTACTACTTACTACTACTTACTACTACCTACTACTACCTACTACTACCTACTACTACCTACTACTACCTACTACTACCTACTACTACCTACTACTACCTACTACTACCTACTACCTCCTACTACTACCTCCTACTACTACCTCCTACTACTACCTCCTACTACTACCTCCTACTACTACCTCCTACTACTACCTACTACCTACTACTAACTACTACTACTACTACGACGACTACTACTACTACTACTACCACCACCACTGCCACTGCCACTGCCACTGCCACTGCCACTGCCACTACCACTGCCACTGCCACTACCACTACCACTACCACAACCACCACCACTACCACCACTACCACCACTACCACCACTACTACTACTACTCCTACTACTCCTACTACTCCTACTACTCCTACTACTCCTACTACTCCTACTACTCCTACTACTCCTACTACTCCTACTACTCCTACTACTCCTACTACTCCTACTACTCCTACTCCTACTACTCCTACTACTCCTACTACTCCTACTCCTACTACTCCTACTCCTACTACTACTACTACTACTATTACTACTACTACTACTACTACTACTACTACTACGACTGCCACTGCCGCTACCACTACCACTACCACTACCACGACCACTACCACTACCACTACCACTACCACTACTACTACTACTGCTACTACTACTAGTACTACTACTACTACTACACTACTACTACTACTACTACTACTGCTACTGCTACTGCTACTGCTACTGCTACTGCTACTGCTACTATTACATACTACTACTACTAGTACTAGTACTAGTACTACTAGTACTACTAGTACTACTAGTACTACTAGTACTACTAGTACTAGTACTAGTACTACTACTACTACTACTAGTACTAGTACTACTACTACTACTACTACTACTACTACTCCTACTCCTACTCCTGCTACTCCTACTCCTCCAGCTTCAACTCCTGCTCCTGCTCCTCCCCCTGCTCCTTCCACTAATCCTGCTGCTGCTGGTGCTGCATAGCTGCTGGTGCTTTTACTTTTTTTTTCGGGGGTCCAATACCTTAATTATATCATATTATATCCACCGTCGTGGCCGCAGCGACTTCTGCTGGTTGCAATTGCGTTCTTTAACAGCAATACATGCAACTGCCCAGACCATGGAAAGCCCGGAGCAATCACCAAGGCTATTCGGGCAATAACTGCCGTGTTTTTGAAAGACACATTGGACGCTGCACACAACGCCGCTTGTTTTGAAATTTGAATGGCCGGTTGCCAAGCGCAAAACAGAGGGCCTGGCGACCCCAAAAACTTCATGTTACGTATACTACACATGGGTTCGGTTGCAGTACCTGCTGCCATGATGTTTGATGCGTTTTTTTGCTCCCGGATAAAGACCCAAGGTCCGGGTATTGGAGTGTAACAAGTTTCCGAAGTTGTTCCAAGCCACTACTTCGACTGATGATTGGTTTTGTTTTGCAGAATAATTTTGTTGCGCCTTTTGTTGCCGGAACACGTGGCTGGGTGGAAACATGCCGTGAACCCATATCCTTAAACCACGAATTGAATTTTGCAATTGGACGAACTTCCCAGAAGAACACCTACTATCCAGCTATAGGTTCGTGCCAGAGACTGTTCGCACGAACCTGTGGGACCAGGATGCTGAACATCAACTTGCAGAGGGCTTGAAAAAGAAAGCGCAGTATGTCTCAAAACTAGAGAGGCTTGGCTGCAGGTGGGATTGGCGTTGCTATATGTTCCTTTCGTCAAACACTGTGAGCCAGTTGCTACTTTGTCGAAGAAAATGGTTTGGAAGATAGCACGTTTCGGGGCTTAATTCTTGATTTGTATGATTTCATTAAAACTAATAGGGCAGGGCTGGGCCAGAATTTGCCTGAGGAATTTCTTCCAACAGATCGACCATGGTGGAAACGGTGCCACGGCAAGATAAGAACACCCTTTCATGGCAGAGAAGGCTTTTGGTTTGGCAAGGGTGGGAACCAAGACTTCACCAACATCGTTTTTCCCATGCTTTCACGGCTGCAATCCGGATTAGGACCCGGAAGGCCTGCTGATACAAGTGTTGGAAGAAAGCACTGCGCATGCTCAAAGGCATGCTGAACTCGCTGTTTGCCAATTCCCATTTCCATGTTTGTTCATCATGGCCGATAAGCCTTCCCGCTTGCTTCATTGTGTATATTGTGTGTTGAAACTAGTTTAACTTGAGCTGAGATTCGCATTTTTGCCTTGTGATGTCACCGTTCACCATTGGATTACATATGCGTCGTGGCGTCGTGTGTAAAGTTTAGTCATTAATGTGTTTCATATCTGCAGGCCGGGTTGATTTCAATCACATGTTTTTTGGTTGTAAGGTAAGCGGATGTGTGGTTCTGACTCTTTGTCTCATGTCTTTTGATGGGTCGAAAGCGCTGGGAGCTTTCTTGTCAACGGAACGGACCGGTGTACTGTCAACCCAGGCATGATCACCGAAGAACGGTTGAATGCCATGCTTGAGACACTCAGCTGCCGGGGCAGGGGCTAAGCAGGTTGTTCTTGATGTCATATGCAAGTTCAACACAAACGACACAACCAAAAGCGGCAAGGTAAAATGCAATGAACGAACAGGAGCGCGAGAGCACGCTGAATGTGACAAGCCACCGCCATCATACCACATACTTTTTAAGTTGCACCAGACTCACCAGCTCCACTTGTGGATGCCCAGTTTTCACGCATAGCTATAAATTAAACACATCTCAGTAGAAGAAGTGTTTGCATGGCTTCTGTTCCTTCAAGCCAAACATTTTCAGATGTCAGGGCTCATGTGCCTGCCACAGCCCGCCCAATGGGTTGTACGCACAATGGGTTATTTTTCGGTAGGTAGCCAAAAAGGATGGAACGCAATGAGCAGCTGAAATGTGGTTTCTTGAAGGGCATCCCAGAGTAGCCAAGATGAATTCACATCCCCTTTTTGTTTTTTCACCCTACCTTGTCCGGCTGCATGCTCAAGGAATCCACGGGTCAAGGCCTACTTCGAGACTTTGGATCTGGCCGTCCACGAAGGTGAATCGCCATGCTTCATCATGTTGCTCTGTTTGGTTGCACTACTGACGGGGATCAGGTTTAGGCATCCCGAAGTTCTGTGGGTTGTTCTGGTCCTTTGTTGTTTTTACATGGCTTTAAAAATCATCACGTCTGAGTGGTTGACGTGCCAAACGAAGACAGCAACACCCCGCGCATGTCCCCAGCTGATGGGCACTACTACGGCGGCATCGTCGTCCAGCAGATCACGGGGCATGACGCCATATATAATTACAACACACCCACCCACCCCAGGGCCACAGTTTGTGGACCACACTCGCTAGCAAAAGCACGGTTTAAGAGCCATTCCTGTCAATGACAGCAGCTGTATGACTGGAGCGTTAAACTCGTAAGAGCACTTTCGATGGCAAGAAGATTGGTTGGAGCACACCCAGATTAATATCCTGGTGCTTTGACTATTTCTTGTGGCTCTGGGGCAGCCCGCGTGCACGAACATTGCCGCGTAGCAAACGGCATGCTTTGATTACTTGAATGAATGGTAGGTAGACCCTATATACTGTCATCAAGCAAATGGCCAAGTAATACAGTGTGTGGACTCGGTTTCGTTCTCAGTCTTTTCACAATACAGATTGCAAAGTATAAGCGCGCAGCTTTGTTTGGTGGGACGCTATTGCGATGATGGGTGCCCGGTATTTGTTGTTGATGATGATTTGAAAGAACATTAAAAGCACATCATCATTCATGCCTGTTCACTGAAAGCATCTCACGCAATTGCCTGCAAACTGTTAATTTCATTCTTTTGCTTGTCTGGCGTTCAGGCACAGCGCTCTTTCACATCCTAGATAACGGAGATGGGGAGGCCCGGGTCTCCGCTACTGCAAGCTTGTGGGCGGAGAACTGAAACTGATGCGGTAGCAAGCTCCCACTGGGCGGAAATGGGTTTGTCTAGCGCATGCATGTAAGAACTGTAAGAGCTTGAAGGTTCAAACATGGTGAGATATTGCGTGATATTGCAAACATACAGTATGTTTCATCAGAACGAGGTGGATGGGCATGCTTTTGCCAGATTCATCTACAATCTACACTTTCTTTGATAGCTATGAATACCTGGATCTTCAACTGGCACTTTTTCTGCTCATATGCAGTTTTTGTTTGAATTTCTGCTCATTCTGACATTTTACGCTCACTTGAACTAAACGTGCGCATGTGTGTCCTGACGGGCGCGTATGTATCCGGATGTATCCGGTATTTACGTTCAATTTCCCAGGAAGATACGATCAGAATTTTGGCTTCAAACCGCACAAAATGGGAAAATGCCAAGGTTGGTGCCCTTGTGCTCATTTGGAGAAAAACAATTCAAAAAGCATAAATCTCTCAAATGAGCTTTCATTAGTGCTGTTTCAAGGATGCAGGCATGCACAATATGTACTGTTCGTTTTTGCTGTATTTGCAATCATGTATCATGTATTTGTGTACATGTGCCCAATATTTTCATATGTGCTGATTACAGTTGGTATTTATACGTGCTGACATTTTAGCTCACCATTCCCCCAGGCGGATGGAACCTTGCTGGCACAAATATCGAACACGTTTGATGTTACAAATATTCAACCCTTGCGTTGTGGAGACATTTTGTTTGCATTATACCTGGAGGTTTAATGGGAGACGTGGGGCAGAAAACAGCATATTTTCAGTCGCATTCGCGCCTACGTAACGGCATTTGATTTGGCATGTGACATGAGAAATGCCAAAACAGAGAAGAATCGCAGCGCACATACACTTGTAGAAATTGAAGTGCGACCAAGGCTTCGCCTGAAAATGCCAAACAGCATATTGAAAGCATTGTGCCCAATATGTGGTGCACATCATCCGATGAGCCGGCAACTGCGACACGGGGCATATTTATATTGAATACCGATTATGATTATGATTATCAAATTATTTTGTGGCTGGTTCTCAGATGGGACAGGCCTCCTGATTGGCATTGGACATGCCGCAGCATATCCGAGATTAGGTGTGTGCGTGTGTAGGTAGGTAAGTAGGTAGGTAAGTAGGTAGGTAAGTAGGTATAGGTAGGTAGGCAAGAAGGGAGGTAGGTAGGTAGGTAGTAGGTAGGTGGTGTGTGTGTGTGTGTCTGCGAGTGTGTCAAAAACCTGCAGCCGTTCAAATCGCCCGGCCGACGCAATGAAATAAGAGGCGCTTCTGGCCGAAAGTCGAGGAACCCAATCAGTGAAACCTGCGGCCATTCAAACTGTCTGGCTTTTCAATTGTGAAACAATTCAACTTTTTTTAAAAGCAGGGTTCCAACATGTTTACCCTTGTTCCATGTTGTGGCCCCTGGATTGTGTCCCGGCTGTCAATGTCTATGTTGCTGACCTGTAGCAGGTCACTCTGGAAGAATTCATAGATGGCATTTTAAGATGCAAAGGTCCCGCAAGGGCCATTGACCAGGCGCCTTGGTTCCTTCTGACTTTTTTGTTTTCCGGGTTCAACACCTAGGCTTTCCCAGTCGGGACCACGGTATCCCCGGTTGATTTGTCATTTGACTTCCTTTTGCTTTCTTCTCCCACAAGCCGGAATTACAGCGCAAAATAATCGCACAAAGATGTCATGAATTCAAGTGAGGGCAGCAGTGGTGATTTGTGGCGCATTTTTTCACTGCGTTGGAATTTGACATGGTTCATGAGGTTGAATCCTTGGATTTTGGTTCCCATCTTCCATTTTGAGGATTTGTTCATACTTGTTGCGTAACTCCAAGCTGGACGCGGCCCTTACCACATCAGAAGTTCAAGTTGGTCTCCGCGGACGATGCCCAGGTGGCGATGCAAGCGGATTTGAAAGGATTGGATCAAAAGATCAGCTTGCTCCTTTCCTGGGTGCAGGAAGGAAAAGTAACTGGGCACGACCTGAGTCTTTCAAGTTTACAGTCCCCTTCTTTAACACTCTTGGTTTTTTATCAGTTATGAAACTCAGTTATGGAGCACGATTTTTATGGTGTTTTCCTTTGGTGCCTTGCAGGCCACGAACTCTCAACGGCCAGGCAAACTGTTCCACAAAAGCTTCCAAAGAAAGCAAGTAGGTCGTATAATGTTCAGACATCTGCAGGTTTAACCCAATAAACATGTGGGAAAGCCATGTACTTTCACCATCCAATTCCTTCATTGGTTTAATTTCTCTTCATCGGATTTTTTTTGTCACCTGCAGCATTACCTTCATCGGCACACAGGTGAACACCGAGAGCGCCCAGCTCCTTAGAAGGAGGACGGAACGCAGCTTGGCATTTTTTTCCCTTGGGCACCAACGAGGTGTCACAGTGCGATTTTTGTGGGTATATACCTATATGTGCATAGATGGAGAATAAGCAGGTATGAATGGATCAGCAGGGCGGCAGGACAACAAATTTACACGTAGGTATTTGGCAGATTGACACACGCAACTATTGGTTTGTAGACTGGTAGACAGGTAGGTAGATAAAACAAAAAGCAAGTTTAAGTTAGAATGCTTTGGATCAGAATTGACCCGATGGGACTGGATAGGTAGCAAGATACAAAAATAGAAAGATAATCTAGATAATGGACAGGTGGATAGATAGATAGGTAGGTAGGTAGATAGGTAGAAAGATAGGTGGATAGGTAGGTAGGTGGATAGGTGGAGATGTAGACAGGTAGATAGGTAGATAGGTACATTAGATAGGTAGATAGAAAGACAGATGCTGTAGATCGATGGTAGATAAGATAAGGTAAGGGATAGGATAGGGCAGGATGGCTTAGATAGATAGGTTAGATAGTTAGATAGTTAGCTAGTTAGATAGATAGATAGATAGACAGATAAACAGATAGATAGATAGAATAGATTAGAATAGATAAATTAGATAAGATAATATAAGATTAGATAGAAAGATAGATAGATAGACAGCCAGATTGTTCTTTGAGTACGCAGATAGATTAGATAAATAGACAGATAGATAAGCCTAAAGGGACTAGATAGATAGATAGATAGATAGATAGATAGATAGATAGATAGATAGGATGAGATAAGGTGAGGTAAAAGAAGCAAGATAGATTAGATAGATAGATAGATGGATGGATGGATGGATAGATAGATAGAGATAGATAGAGATAGATAGATAGATCCATCGATCGATCGATCGATTAGATAGATAGAAAAGATAGATAGATAGATGGATAGATAGATAGATTAGATTAGATTAGATTAGATAGATTAGATTAGATAGATTAGATTAGTTAGATTAGATTAGATTAGATAGATTAGATAGATTAGATAGATTAGGTAGATAAATAGATAGATAAATAGATAGATAGACAGACAGACAGACAGATAGATAGATAGATAGAGGGATAGAGAGATAGATAGATAGATAGATAGATAGATAGAGAGAGAGATAGATAGATAGATAGATAGATTAGATAGATAGAATAGATAGAATAGATAGAATAGAATAGAATAGAATAGAATAGAATAGATAAATAGATAGATAGATAGATAGATAAATAGACAGATTAGATAAGATTAGATTAGATTAGATAGATAGATAGGTAGATAGATAGATAGAAAAAAAATCGATAGATTCGATAGATTAGATCGATAGGTAGATAGATAGATAGATAGATAGATAGACAGGCAGACGGACAGATAGATAGATTAGATTAGATTAGACTAGATTAGATTAGATTGATAGATAGAAAGATAGAATGATAGATAGATAGAAAGATAGATAGATAGGTGGATAGGTCGATAGGTAGAAAGATATAGATGGATATAGACAGAATTAGACAGATATAGGTAGATTTAGATTGATATAGATAAATACAGGTAGATTGATAGTTAACATACGATAAGATATGATATTTTCAGATAAGATAAGATAGATTAGATTAGATAAGGTTAGAGTCCGATTTGGTTCGAGGGATGGATATTCTAGATGATATATAATATGGAAAGATAAGATAGAATGATAGAATGATTGATTGATAGATAGATAGATAGATAGACAGATAGATAGATAGATAGAATGTTAGATAGATAGATAGATGGATAGATAGATAGATAGATCGATCGATAGACATATCAGAAACACATAGATAAGAACAATAGATTAAAAAAAAACTAGTTATAAGAAATAAAGGTAAGAACGAACCAAAGCAAATATAGACAAGATATACTACAAAACCAAAGTAAATATAAAAATCAGAAACATCAGAACATAAATCAGAAAACATAAGAACATAGATGAGACATATAAATAGATAAAAGATAAAGAGATCGTTCGATAGATTGATTGAAAGATTGTTCGGTTGATTGATTTATTCACTGATTTGATTTGTTTGATTGACTGATTGATTGGTCGACTGATTGATAGACTGATAGGCCGATACATGAATACATTGAACGGTTGATTTTCGATAGGATAGCATAGGCTAGAAAAGGATGATAGGATAGGACAGGTAGGACAGATAGATAGTTAGAGGTAGATAGACAAAGGTAGACAGACAGACCGACGGACTGACCGACCGACAGACAGACAGACAGATAGATAGATAGAGATATAGAGAGACTGGTAGACTAGACAAGCAGACATATAGTTGTAGGTGGATAGATAGCAGATAGAAAGATGTTTATAGGTGGATGGATAGGTAGATATACTGATATTTAGATAGGTCGAACAAGGCAGCCAGGCAGACCCATAGTTTCGGTGCGTGGATCGGCAGCCAAGCAGTTCGGAACGCTGCAAGATCTGGTAGACAGATGGTCGGTAGGCAGGTGGCTCGACAGCTTGTGTAGATGGATTCATTCGGAACCACAAGATAAGTTTGTCGGGTCTACAAATCCAATGCTTGACAGATGTAGTTAAAACGGCAACTTGTATTTTCTGCATGCGACGCGAAGTTTCGAGGTTTCATGACAGCTGACAGCTATGTTTTCCCCTGTTCCTTTTCTCCGTTCCTGTCCTCTTTCCCGGTTTTGCTCCTGTTGGGGTGCTGCCTTGGCATCAGCCCTAAAATTTGCGCGCCTCTGTCCACCAACTTTTGACCTTAGGTTGTACGCCCGTTTGCAGCACCGCGAAAACATATACGATGTATGTCAGTATCTGTCAGTTAAATCTCAATATGTGACATGTGGCTCAGAAAAGTTTGTGGAGATACTCGTAGGATTTGCAAGAATTATGCTGAACATGGTGCGAGTAAGAATCAGCGGATGCATGTTGGTCAGGTCTGTAGCTTTCTGGCGTGCTCCGGAGATGAATCCCACGGCGAGTTTGCCAGCTCTTTGGGGCGCGCCGGGCCCGAGCATATTATGCCAGATAGAACGAAAGAGAAAATATGATAAATTGTCAGACAGGATGCCAAATAAAATGTCAATTTTTTCTTCGACAGGCAACGCCAGACAGAAACCTAGACAGAATGCCAGAAAATATTCTGGACAGAAAATGCCCGACAGAATGCCAGAAAGAATCCCAGAATATGTGTCAGATCGAAAATGCAAAAAACATGCCCGATGGAAGGCAACATATTTGTCACACAGCAAGTAACAGATAGAATGCCGCATGGAACATTAATATTTTTATCCTGCGCAATGCGAGGAAAAATGCCAGATCGAATTTCGATCATGATGGAATGTCAGAATATATATGCCACGGTGGGTTTCACTCGAAGAAAGCAATCTAGTGGTTTGAAACCACCAGAATCAACCCACCAAAGTAATTACGAGGCTGATGTGATAAAATCCATCAGCACACCATCCCCATTTACCCAGAAGTAGGCGGATTTTTGTTAAAATTTATTGTGACCCTATCCAGCTAGCAATACTAACCCGAAATGTGAGTCAACCTATATCCGGAAGTACTTGTAGTAGGAAACTTGCATGACACTGCGCGATCCGAATCACAAGAACATACTATACTCATATGTGTTGTTGATTGGGACTCGAGATTCTAGACGGGTCAAAAAGACTGGCACCTCAACAAAAACATACAAAAACGCATTTTTACCAAGAGGCAAACAAAAATCATATGCTTTTGGTTTTCGATTGTTTTTGGGGGTTTCATACCCGGTTTCGGGCATGCCAACCGAAGCCCAGGTAAGGGAACGCTCACGAAGGATTTGAAAGTTTTCCGCAACCCGGCTGCAAGGTTGCAGCACAATTGCCGGAAAATTGTGCCAAGATTTGGACGTCACAACGTGCTTGGTACCTGCAAATCGGGGATTTACCCCGAGTTGTAGCCATTTAAATGTTTGTGGTGCCTTATTTTCGGGCAAACCCAAATTGAAGCGTTTTTTTAACTAATTAAATCATGATCCCATAGCCTTGCTGTGTTAGTTTTTGTTGTTTGCGTCAACGTCCATGGCCGTTCGTCACACACTTCGCACGGCCCATGCGCGCTCAACATGTTGAAAAGTGATGTAAAGGCAGATAACCTCGAGTGTTGGAGATCCGTGCAGTTTGTAGCGATGTTGATCGATAGGGTGTAATCCTGCATTGGCTTGATTTTCATCGTTTGGTCTAAAATGTTTTTTTTAACAATCAGTACCAACATCGATTCTTCCCATATATTCAACACCTTCTTGAAAGAAAGAAATCATGGTAGCAAGTGTTCGGTCAATAAATAATGTTTTGTCAATGGCCGTTTCAGGAACCTAAATTGGAGGTACCTACAATATATAAGGCCTATATAAGGCCTATGTAAGGCTTATGTAAGGGAATATCACCACAAAATATAGCCTTATATGGTACAGTACCTTCATTTTAGGATCCTGGAATTCCCATTGATTATGGTCGTATACGAGGAAATTGAATATGATCGAGGAAGGGGTTCCCTAGTTCCAACAGTGTGCTTCACCATTTTCATTGGTTGAATTATATATTTTCACTTCCAATGGCATTCCGCATATGTCTGTTGTTGGAACCCACCTATCCATACCAAGGATCGGTGAGGGTTTGGATCGGTAGGGTTTCCATGTTATATGTTTGAGATTTAAAAATGTTTTAAATGCTTAAATATGTCCAAAAATGATAAAAATGAATAAAAATGATAAAACATGTCCAAAAATGATAAAAATGAATAAAAATAATAAAACATGATAAGATATGATTTTAAACAATATATATGTAATAAAAGCAAAACATGAAGAATATACAGGATGATTACAACCCTTCAAAAAATAAAAACATTGCCTGACAACCCTTTACACAACTTGCATTGATACATGCACAAACGGGTTTGGTTGCACTTGGCATGATTAATCGACATGTAAAATACATATATGTTAACAGAAAAACATGTTATTGTTTACTAAAAACCGCTTAGTTAAAACATGTTATTGACGATTGAAATCGACTGAA